ACTTCAGCTTCAGGAAGTGTCTCAGAGGAGGCGGCAGCAGCTGGGTCGTCTGGAAAGAAATGCAACGAATTGATTGAGTTGAGAAAGCAATAAAGTGAATACTTAGCCGCGCGAGTGAATACCTAGCTGCATGACGTGGCAAACAGTACAGTGAATACATTAGCCGCATGGCGTGTCATTCTGGGAAGTTTCCAGCGAGCCCAGCGGCATTTGAGCAGCAATCTCGAGAAAGGACGAGAATCCAGTGTTGATCGCGCAAGACGAGTAGCCTGTGAAAAATCCCCCTTAAGGGTCTATGCTCAAAGCGCCCCGAAGGGATCACACAGCACACCACAGTGGGGCGATGCTGCGGCGCACACTTAGATCCATGCTCACAAGAGCTAAACCTGTTTGGAAGTTCCACTCTACATTACCTGCTTAGAGCGCTGCCTGAAACCTGAGAAGCAGCCCTGAGAGGTAACGGCAAGGTGAATAGGTCCGAAACAACATTGTGTACATCATTTGATTTAAGGAAAACGTGCAGGTACGTTTACGCCCAGGTGGGGCGTGTCTCCGTTGGCCGGAGACCCACTTGGCTCCGGCCCCCTGCTGACTGTACAAGGTATCGCAGTGATTAGTTAGACCTCTGAATTAGACTGCTGTGGTCTTTTTCCTTGGAGACAGGAAGTGACACACTTATTGCCCACTCACTAAAGATAATGCATGCTGAACTGATCGCCCCAAGCCGTGAAGAGGCCTTACTAAGTTAAAAAATGGCCTAGGTAAAACTAGGTGGTATGTAAGGCCGTCCGATCAACCTAGTCAGAAGGAAAACCAAATGGGTAATGAAAGTCTTAACGCAAGTACGTCGCTGGTCACTGGACGTCTCCAGTGGTATCCGCATAACACTGCAGAGAGCTTGGTTAAGTGGAGCTCTGCAGGCCTGCTCCACTCCCCTCTTAAAGAAGAGCAAAATTCAAAGGAATCCCTGTGACTCCAAGGGTTTCACACACACACGCCTCCGGTTGCATGTGTGCGCACAAACAAAGACAAATGAATGACGACGTGAAAGGAGGACAAGACAGACCAGGTGTATGTCCATGTGGTTGCAATGAAAAGACAACAAGTGACCAGGGACAACCGATGAACCCAATTCCCTTGTAAAACCTAGGCGACCTCAAGCCTGGGTTTAAGTAAAAGTGCGCGCATGCACGAAGGGCCGGACAGATGAGCGCGCAAGAGAGACAAGGAGTAAGATGCCATGACATGAAGGCAGAAGGGTATGAAAAGAAAGGGGAAGAAACGAAGTATGTAAAGGGGAAAGAAGATGAAAGGGGAAACCAGACGGGAGGGTCGAAAACCAACTAAGCCAGCCAAACCTCATTGAGAAAACCGAGGTATACCTGACCCCGTTAACATTGTACACGATGTATGTACACCTAAGGCCCCAACAGGTCTCAATGGACCTTAAAGAAGCTTTGACCGCTCTGGTCACCTTGTGCCATGCCAAAATGGCAGGCGCTTAGACCGTTACGGTCGCCAAATGGCGCGCCCGAAAGCATCCATCAAGTCTTGGCAAATAACTTTGGCTTAAACCTCCGGACAAACCCCCGTTCGACGGGGCCACAAGAGGCACTCCTCGGGCACACCCTGGGCTGGCGAGAAGCCAGACGCACTCAAGATAACGCGCTGAACTGATCGCCCCAAGTCCTGAAGAGGCCCAAGCGAAAATATGGCCTAGGTAAAACTAGGTGGTATGTAAGGCGGTCCGATCAACCTAGTCAAATGGAAAGCCAGCGACTCGACAGCCTCGATCGACGAGTGCAGACACAAATCGATGCAACGGCCAGTAGCTTGTTGTAGGGACCCATTGGGTAATGAAAGTCTTAACGCAAGTACGTCACTGGACATCTCCAGTGATACCCCCAACTCAAAGTGGAGACTCCAAGGCGCTACCCCTCTCCAGGTGACCCTTGTTTACAGGAGAACAAACATCACATTGAATCACTTTTGAATCATTTAAAATCCTTTTTGAAGCTTATAAAATCTTATTCGTGCACTTTTTTGCTTTAAAAGCGCAAAAAGTGATTTCAAATGCTTTGAAAATGCAAAAAGTGTATTTGTCACTTTTGTTTCTGAACGTGATGTTCATTAAAAGATCTGACAAGTAATGCTTTAATTTACTGTGTTTGAAAGTCAGCATTTCATTGTCGTCCTCATTTTGTTATGAGTGTTTTTTAGGAAAAGGAAGAAGAACAGGAAGAGGAAGAGGAAAAGGAAGAGGAAAAGGAACTGTAAAAAATAAACATAAAAAAGGAAAAGGTCGAGAAAGAGGAACCGGAAACAACAAAATGGTTTGATTTGGTTTGTTGATTATCTATCTATTCTACTGGCTTTCTGTGTTTTTACAAAATTTTGTAACCTGGTCAAATCTGATCAAACCTGATCAAATTTGATCAAATCAGATCAAAACCATGGTTTTGATCAAATTTGATCAAATGTGATGGGATTGCATTTTTTGTAAAAACCCTTATTTTCCTGAATTAAAAAACTTTGTCACAGTTTTAGTCATTAGATTGTGTTTCCTCAACTCTCTTCGCCAAAAATTGTCCACAATTTTAGTCATTAGACGTTGTTTCCTCAACTCTCCTCACCCAAAAAATTTTGCCCACGGTTTTATATAAGCATGTAATTGTGTTTCCTTTTTTCCCAATGTTTTGTCCACCGTTTTAGTCATTGACTTTTCCCTTAACTTCCCTCACCAAGTTTTATTGTCCACAGCTTTAGTCATTAGAAGTTGCTTCCTTAATTTCCCTGGACAGGGAAAGGAAGAGGAAAAGAAAAAGGAAGAGGAACCGGAAAAGGACAAGGACAAGGAAAAGGAAGAGAAAGAGGCAAAGGAAAAGGAAAAGGAAAAAGGAAAAGGAACAAAAAGGGAACAGGAAACGGAAAAGAGAAGAGGAAAAGCAAGAGTCAGAGAAAAGGAAAAAAGGAAAAAGAAACGGACGAGGAAAAGGAAGGGCACAAGGCAAAGGAAGAGGAAAAGACGCCACATATTTTTTGGGTGAAGGACAGTAAGGAAACAAAATCTAATGACTAAACCTGTGGACAAAAAATTTGGTGAGGAGAGTTGAAAACAAAATCTAATGACTAAAGCTGTGGACGAAAAATTTGGTGAGGGAGGAGAATTGAGGAAACAAAATCTAATGACTAAAACTGTGGCCACTTCTTTTTTGGGTTTGAAGGAAAGTAAGGAAACACAATCTATGACTAAAACTGTGGACAAAACAAGATGGAGCCCACGAACCCGAATGCAAACACGTTCGAAAAGCTACATATGTCCAAATGACACTCTTGTAGGACACTCTTGTGGGACACTCTTGTGGGACACTCTTGTGGAACACTCTTGTGGGTCACTCTTGTGGGACACTCCTGTGGGACACTCATTTGGGACACTCTTGCGGGACACTCTTGTGGGACACTCTTAACTCTTGTGAGACACTCTTGTGGGACACGGTTGCGGGACACTCTTGTGGGACACTCTTGTGAGACACTCTTACGGGACACTCTTGTAGGACACTCTTGTGGGACACTCTTGTAGGAAACTCTTGTGGGACACCCTTACGGGACACTCTTGTTGCACACTCTTGTAGGACACTCTTGTGGGTCACTCTTATGGGACACTCTTGTCGGACACTCTTGTGGGACACACTTGTGGGACACTCTTGTGGGACACTCATACGGGACACTCTTGTGGGACACTCTTGTAGGACACTCTTGTGGGACACGCGGGAC